AAATGAAATTCGTGCACCACTGTGGTTACCTTTGCGGGGGATCGGCTCTGATCAAGACCATGAATGGAAGAAGAAGACCAATGCTCCTCATATCGGTTTTGTCTCCGATCATGACAAGACGTTAATTTGGAAAGATGTCTTGGTACATTTCATGCTCCAAACAGATGGTTATGATGATATAATAGATGGTGATGAATTGAAGGAGCGAGAGTTAGGGATTGGGCAATGAAGAAGATGGCCACCAGTTTAGGACTTGCAAGAAACACCTATACACGACGTATGTCAAGAAGAACATAGCACCAGATTTTCTTGCCCCGGGCCCGATCTCAAAGCAGAGGCCCTATTGGGATGAGTTTGTACAAAGTACAAGACGTCGGAAGAGGGTGTGAGTCGGGTGATAAAGAACCAACGTAATGCCCAACGTAAGACATACCACCATAACTTGGGATCAGGTGGCTACCCGACTGCCATTAAGAAGTGGAACAAAATGGAAGCAGACCTTCTTGCCAAGGGTATCACACCAGAATCACTCGAGTGGGGAGTGCCTGCAAATAATTGGTTTTTCGCTCATAGGGGAAAACTGGACCAGGAGACAGGGAAGTGCATTTATGGCGCAAGGCGCAAGAAGCAAAGCAGAAGATTGTTTTATGCTCAAAGAGCTATCGCTAGTGGTGCGTTCAGGCCCAATAGAGAGAAGGATGAGCTGACATACGCCATCGGGACTATTGAACACGGTGGCCGAACTAGAGGCAAAGGAAGTGTCTTGTGAGAGCATGGATTCCCTCAGGACAGACCTTCCTACAGAAGCCGCCAGAGAAAGAAGGAAGAAGAGGCACAGCGGCTCCGAGAGGTTGGAGGAAGCGGTGCGTGAAGCCTGAGAGCGGGAAAAAAACCTTGAAGCGAGAATGCAGGAGGAAATCAAGGCAAGTGCAAATAGCAAGTGAGTGCAAGCAAGCAAGGCATCGAGCCAGGAATCAACATTAGCCAACTGCTTGGGTTGAAAAGGTTGCGCTTCGGACGGAGATACCAAACCAAGGGGACACAGGATCTGCGCTTCCCTCGTGGATGACGTCCATCGAACCTTGTACATCGTGTGAGCTACACATTCGAAGGGGAATTCCACAATCAAGGTGGCTATCGGTCTTGTTAATCCTATCGACCCGAACCAAGACACCAAGGATTCATGGGAATATAATCCAAGAAGGATATGCTACCATCTCGGTAGATAAAAGCTGAAAAAGGTTTTAGTGATTTGCCTCTTGACATTCCTGGAGGTGATGGCGAGAAGACTCTAGGAGAAGCAGAGAAGACATTCATTCTATGGCGCAAGCGCTACATCATCATTCCCGGGATGTCGGCTCCACCTCCTCCTGAACTACCTCACCATAGGTGCGGATGAAAACACTACATCATTAATTTATATTCGCTTAAATAATTAACAATCTGCTCATAATAATATGTCATTCCTTTTTTTGTAGCAGATCCTCCCCCAACCTAAATCCAATTGTTCAACCAGATCATCATAGTGCTCTGTACGATGACATTGTGTTGGAAGGTGAGGCTGCACCCACACCATCTCCAAGGAGGTCTCCAACGCCTCCCCCGTCCCCGCCTACCAAGAAGCCAAGTACTAGTAAGAGGCCAGCCCCGCAAACGATGAACCAGTCCCCGCCGACAAAGAAAGCCACCGTGAAACCAAGGGCTATTCCCAAAATAGTATCTAAAGAGAAGGAAGAAGTAACTGATGCATATAAAAAAGATATGTCCAGATTCTATGACAAACTTAAAAAGGGTCAAGAAGCAAGGAGAAACCCGGAGAAACCGTACTTCTTCGTAGCTCCAGATATTCTAAGAAAAAATGTGGCTTCTTACCAGCAACAACAGCGGGAATCTCGTAAGCCGTCCAAATCAACGTTAACGGACTATGACCGCACTCTCACCAAGTTAGTTGAGGCGGCATAGGAAAAGAAGCGGGCAGGGAAAGGAGTTGCACAACTCGGACAACAATTGCACCAATCAGTCCCCCCGCTAGTTGTTGGTAATGAATATGGTTCGAATTTAGGATTAATGCATCAGGCAAACATACCTCCGGATGTCAATTTGGATCACCTTGGTGAATTTATTGAAGAGACTGGTCTCGACCTTTACCAGATGTTTGGTGATGGAAACATTGAGAGTGCGGCGGAGGTTGATATTTGGAAGAAAAAAATTGTACTAGGCCAGAGTCTATACAACCCTCAAGCCCTATGTGATCTGGGGACGTAAATATACCTGCTAAACAAGTGGTACATGCAGGCGTCTACCGGTGGAGACTTCTGCGTTGGTGTCAGAATTAGAGACGAACATTGGTTCCGTGGCGATGATGTTATGTATGTTGACTTTGCAGAATTTCATCAACTATGCCACCCGACCTCTCTGGACAAAGTTATCATTAGCTGCTAGTGCCTATAAGTAATAATTCTTTCGATCTATTATTAAACTCATCATATGTGTGTATATGCATATAAATTATCCTAACAAATACTATATATATGCAGATTTACAATGACAGAGCTCAGAAAGGAAGGCTGCAATGAAATTGGTTTTGTTGATCCCCATATAGATTCAAAGACCCAGTTACTCCAAAGCCTAATTGGAAGTCTGAGTCAGAGAGTAACCTCTTGAACTTCTTAGTGAACCAACGCCACAAGAAGGATATACTCTTTCCCTACAACTTCAAGTGAGTGTTAATAATGTCGATCATCCTTAATGGCTCATATGTTGATTCTAGTTAATTAATGAGTGTTATGCGTTATATCCTATAAACACATGCAGTAATCACTGGATATTAATGGACATTGATCTGGTGAAAAGTCAGTTGATAATCTATGACTCGATGAGAAAACCACAACAAGACTACCAAGATATGATAGATATTATCCAGAGGTAATTTCGGTATCTCTAGCAACTATATATACACACAAACATGATGATTAACTATATCTGATGACGTGGTAATTTTTTTTATTGGACAGTGTTTGGAAAACCTTTATTGAGAAGCAACACATGGGAAAATGCAAAGCGCCATTGAATGTAATCCCTTTGAAAGTAAGTCCCCTAAATCGCATCATCTTTATTAATTAAACATACAGCTTTCACCGGATCACCAGATTGGATGACAAATCTTTTTCTCGTAAAGTGGTGTCTGAGGCAGGAACAGGGGAACAACTACTGTGGTTACTATGTTTGCAAGTTTATCAAGGTGGTCTCCCAAAGAACTCCTACGGAGAGACTCAAAGTACGTTAAAAATATACTATATATTCATTTAATTATTATTATTGATTGTGTTACTGTGTCTTTATATTTATATATATATATATATATATGTACATATATTAATTTATTTTCCTTTAATTCAAACCCATAGGCTCGATGGTTGGAGGAAAAGGTCATAGGGCATGACCAAATCAAAGCAATTCAAGAGTCTATAGCCGGATTTTTTAATGAGCAGGTCATCGATTCTAAGGGCGAGTTCTACTTCGACCCAACACTGCCATGGAAGCCAAGCTAGAGGATGAGAGAAAACTTGTTATATCACAACAACTGTAATGCAATCTTTTGTAATATATGCACATGAAATAATATAATGTAAAATACACATATGCATGCATGCATGTAAATATATATATGATGCATGCATATATATATATATATATATATATATATATATTTCTATGCTTGAATTGTGTGATTTAATACGTTCATTGTGCTTGAACCGAAACATACTATACGCGCGTATAAATGTATAATTAGCAGCGTACAATACGACTTCGAAAACCTATTTTGAAAAGAAAACAAAAAATGAAAAGAAAAAAAAAGAAAAAAAAATCTTTAGTCCCGGTTCGTGTTACCCACCGGGACTAAAGGTCCTCCTTTAGTCCCGGTTCCTGACTCGGGACTAAAGGACCCTCCTTCAGTCCCGGATGCTTGCTCTCGGGTGGGGAACCGGGACTAGAGGGGGTTCCCTACCGAGAGTAAAGCTCTGTTCTCTACCAGTGATCCAAGCTGGCGCGGCAACGCCGCGCCCATCTTTTCTAGTCCGAATCCAATCTGAACATCCCAAACCAGCTCATTCTGTCGGGTAACTCCAGCGTCTGATCTGAGACGACGCCACTTTGCATTTCGTCAGTATACGTACATAGCGACACGCTTGCATCGACGATATGTCCTGTAGGGTCGGCGGATAGATGTAACAATTTAGCAGACAAAAACAATAAACGAAGACAGATATATAATTATTATTAAATTTTATTGCTACCTCTGTATATGCTAGGCGTCTACTACTACCAGGGACTCAGGGAGTAGGATCGAGATGAAGTACGTACCTGTGGCTCACCGATGAGCAGATACTCCAGCACGTATACCCCGTCGCCTTCTCGTACATAGGCCCGGCCAACGTCCTTCCCGGTTGATGTATCCCTCACATAACCAACTGTCGGCTCAAAGACCGAAACCAAGCCATGGCTGCGAGCAAGCTAGGCCACGGAGATGACGTTCCTCGCGTCTCCCCGAACGCAGCTGACGTTCGGGACATCAAACCGATTGGTCCGTACGTGCCCACATGCAAGGATGTGGGCGTCGTCGTCCCGAAACGAAGGCAGCGCGTCACTGCCATCGATTTCAGAGAAATCTTGGGAAGAAGCACCCTTTTAATTTTTGGTCATTGTATATTTTTTTGTGCTAGTGTTGTCTTACCAACTCCTCCTGTTCCAACGATAGCAAGCTTATAAGACCTTTTTTCCTTATGTGCAAGCACCAAATCTACTACTTTTCTGCAAGCACGTAAGACCTCCTTACCAACAAGGTTTGGCTCAACAAGGCTGGAACTTCTTCTCTGTTTTGGTACAGAAACTGTTATAGTTGATTGTGTACTTTTGAGTGAAGTAAATACTTTATCCTTTGAAATATTATCAATTCTTTTGTTTAAGTTTTTAATCTTAACTGCAATCTCATGACGTGTCTAGATATTAAAAAAGCAAGAGGAAAGAGAAAGGCCACTGCATGTATTTGAACTGCTTGATACTAATGAAGAATGGTCTGGCAATAGCTTGCTTCCTTTGGATTTGGCCAAGTCAATGATATCATCAGCATCATACATAGCATCTCTTAGCTGACCAAGCCAATTGTTAACAGCAGATTCTTTTATGCTCCTTTTCTCTGCATCATTAAGAAAGTACCATAGTTGCTCCATTCTTCTCTTTAGCTCTATGAGCTCTTCTTTAACACCTAAAATTAGTATGGCCTCCTCTGTAACAATATCTTGCAACTTCTTCGCGCATGATCCGACAAAAGATTCAAGTATGGTTGCCATCAGACCAAGATGGTTAGGGAGATCCACATAAAGAGTTGGAGGCTGGGCAATGAATGAGAAGACATGTTAACTTGGTCTCCAATTGTGATAACATTCATTAAATTTAACATATACCACTACTGATTTGTAGGGCAATGCTACGGTACTCGCATTACCTAATAGGAGGTAATAGCTTAAATCAGTCTGAACCGTTGATTTTTTATTATTTAATAAATAAAATAAATAATAAATAAATATAACAAAAAAGATTTTTCAAATCCTGTAATCACGGGAGTACAAGAAGCAAGCAGTCATTCATTTCTTAGTTCGTGTGCACGTTACATGTTATTATATGCGTATACATATTATACATGCATAATACACCTAAACTTAACTCGCATATACATCTTAACGCTAGCTAACACAATACACAGGAGATGTATGTTACATGCGTATACATGTTATACATGCATCATACACCTAATCTTAACATGCATATACATCTTACATACATTTAAATACGCAAGTTAACAAAGGAGGGACATGTTGCATCAAAAAATCGTGAGCTAACATGACGATGGTACCTAACACGGAGCGTTACATGCATCATCAAAAGACTAACTTGCTAATTAAAATAGATCAATCCAAAGTTCCAAAATAAAAAGATTCACCATATCTAATAGATTACACATGCATCAATTAGATGTAGAAAAAAGATTTTTATATATCTAAAAATTACCTTATTTATCCTATTTTACAAAATATAAAATTAAAATAAATATATATTTTACATATTACTTCCTAGTAGTCATTTGGGAGTGTCAGAGCAAAGCCCTTGTACAATAGGTTTTATATGAGTATAGTGAACTCACATCCAGAATTTTCGTGCACCTTGTTATTAAGTTATATAGGAATAAACATCATTTCTCTACCGTCAATAAATCATGCTTAATGCCATTCCATATGGATTAGAAACTAATAATACACTAGGTACATGACGGTGGTGGTTGACATGATATATACAGGAATAAACATCTTTTGTCTACTGTCGGTAAATCACGCATAATGCCATGCCATATGGATTAGAAACTAATAAAACACTAAGGAGATTTACTATGGTGCCTCCAAATGACGTTAAGCCCTTCATTAGATCAGACGACTAGAATCATCTATTAGTTTCTAAGAGGTAATAGGTCAAATAAATATTTAGTTAATTTTTAATTTTGGAGAATAGGATAAAATAAGGAAAGTTCTACATGTAAAGATCATTTTTAGATCTTTGATGCATACAAGATATATTGAATGTGATAAATCTTTTTATTTTTGTAACTTTGGATATGACATAATTTAGGTAGCATATATAAACTACCTATTTGTTTATGCAAGTAACCCTGTCGTACGTATATGTCCACAAGACATACTACAACGTGTATGTGTACGAGCCTGTGTACAAGCCAAAAGACGTGTCCAGCATACGTGAAATTTAATTACGTGTATACGTAAAACTTCACGTTACATACTCAATATATAATGTGACAGCTATTAACGTTGGACACAAAACTTCACGATGTTGATATTATTCAAGTATGTAACATATTTTTTTAACTGAGTATATAATATGAATGGTGTACAACTTTAACGTAACTGCTGAAAAGCCAGGCTGAAAAATATTGTTCGCTGATTTGTTATGAGAGAAAAACACTGTAACATGGCTGATAAGTTCAAGCGAACAGGGAGGCCCCGTTTGGATCCTTGAATTGAATTCATTTTAAGAATCATAATTTAGACACATATTAATTAAGCTAATATGGTTGTATATAAATTATATTTGTATATTATTGTTGACTATACGAGAGAGATATTTATGTGTTGCATTTCTACTGTAGGAGAGCGAGTTGAAGAGCATATTATAAGTTACAAAGTAGAAATATAACATAGCGATCTATAAAACCAATTTCCATCTCACACCTTATGAATTTGAGATAGGCATATATGTGAACTTTGAAAAGCGGTGGAATGTCAAATTTTAAGCTAAATAGCCTAGTTTATTAAGTAGATTTTAATTCCTCCAAATGAAAAGGATCCAAACATCAGTCCAAATTTTTTTGTACGTGTAGTGTATACATGTATATATTAGCAAAAAGTAAAAATAGAATTAAAATAGCAACTTATTCACGTTGAACCCAAAAGGAAGGGTCCGTCTACACGGAAAAGGAAGGCGTCATGCGCTTGATTCTCTCTTCCGTGACGTGAGGATTTAATGATGTTTATTTTCTTTTCTTATATTAATTAATTAGATAATTAACTCAAAAATTCTTAAAAAATCAATGGCTCAAATTTATTTGAGATATTACCTCTTAATAAGTAAAGAGGGTACCGTAGCATTGTCCTACACCAGGTACATGACGGTGGTGGTTGACAAAATGAGTAGTAAGGTAAAATATTGAGGTATAGACCCCTGTCTTAGCTTCGTTCTTGTCCCTTTCTATTTCAAGTGTTGTAAGTTAAGGTACTCTTGATTTGATGTTATCAATTTCAAAAAGTACTTGGTATGTTGCACTTGAACGTAAAACCTCTACTAATACTTCCATTAGTTACACATTTCGATCTGGTAAAACATGATAATGGTCAGATTGCAGGTACATGTTGGATGTCTTACCTTAGAAATCTATCTTCCAACTAGAGTCAATAGTAATCCTCTTGTTGGCATATCCAGTTCGTTTGGATTGTCGACCCATCCAGCGTACTGCACCGATGCTATGCGTGCAGATCAAAAGTAAATCCTTTAGAAAAAAAACAATTTATTAAGTGGATAGAAGAAATTATCCGCCAATCACCAACAGAGAACCACAGATATCACAGCTAATTAAACCTGCAAAAATGAGAAAGAATTAAATGGCAAATCTCTTGCTTGTCAAAACAAAGGTTGTTCAATGACTGGCAATTACTAGATGGTACCCATAACTAGAATAGTTCACCAGAAAGTTAAAGCAAGAAGAGTATCACTGTATTTATGCTATGATGGTGGAGCAGTAAGTACCTGATTACAGGTCAACTGATAAGCCACTAATCAGATGGTACACATCAAATAGATCAGTATGTGTCGATGCTATTTTTCCTTTTTTGCTCCCAACAGGATCACTTTGGTGAGAGATGAACTCGCTCAACAGAAATGGGCACACAGAGCATTAAACCTGTACCAGCTCTGCTTGATCAGCACATGCAAGTCTAGGAATCATCTTCAATGAAGGAAATGAGTGTGACAATATATAAGAACTAGTAGTAACCATCTTGCAGAAGCAGTTCCTCCAGATCATTACAGGTGAGTACGTTTAAGATCTTCAATACTGAGGGAAGGTCTTTAGACACCGATGTATAGAATAAATAATGGAGGACAATCACCGGATGCCACGGCCAGTCCTGCAAAATGTGGTGACAACTAGAACAGTTTAGCAGGATCAGTGACAGCCTCGTTGATCAATACCTACAACTAGGACAGCCAACTAGAAGAATTATTACCACTGAATCAGAATTTTCAGCACAATTAGAACTAGAAAACGTAGGTCAACACAGGACAACTGGAAAGGCACTGATCAGACTGCTTCTTTTGGAGATCAATTTGTCCCGATGTAAATTGTTGTGCTCCCGATAGTAGGATCTCTTGAATCTGTAGTCCTACAGAAACGGATGTAGCCTCAAGTCTCTGCATCACCAGGCAATACTATGAGAACAGAAACCAACTAAATCAGACTACCTTCTTAACTAAGTAGAGGCCATTAAGGTTTTTCAAGAAATGACAACATACCTTAGGAAGAGCATCGTGCACGACGAAAGGTTGCAGCAATGGAGGAGCAAATGGAAACTAGAGAGACCTTGTGGCAAAATGCCTCTTACGAGTGGGAAATAAGATGTGTGGAAAAGCGTAGACTAAAAGGCAGTGTGTGCAAAGACCGCTGAACCTATGGTATTTGATTATTGAGAATACTAAGCAGCCTATTGGCTGTTTAATGGCATCGATAAGCCTATGGTTAGTTGCCCATGTGATTTGTTTACCTCGAGATTCGACAAGCACATGTGAAACTGGCAGTCACCGTAGCCTAGACAGTTTTCGGACCACGGATTGGATTCAGGTTTCTTTAATAGAGTGTTTGGTTTGAAAAATAAACTAGTCCGCCATCTTCTCACTTCTCACTTCATCAGCCCATTGCTTACAAACTAATAATTAGTACTCGTATGAGAAATGAAGTTATTTGAGTATTTGATCAAATTTGAGAAATAAAGCGATTGCTGAATGAGATTGATATTGACACCATCATCGATGACTTCGCATACAGCAAAAATAAACCATCAATTTCATCTACATTTATCCTTAAAATCAAACATTAACATAGGTTTAGAGGCTTTAAACTAACAAATTCCACAAGTCTTGGTGAATATTTGCATGCAGGTTGATTTATCTAGAAAATGGACCAAAGTGGGCCATACTATGTCAGAAAATCAAGATGATCCGCAACGAAACCAACTCCACCGGCCTCACATCCACCATCCACGACTTACGGCCAAAGATCGACAGTAGAGGAGGCCAGAGGGGGTTGACCGACCACCCCCCTTGGTCGGCCAACCAGTGGACCCTCTCTGTCAGCCCCTCCTCAGACGTGGATCCTCCATCGATCTTAAGGATCAATCTTCATCATGCATCGAAGTCGGTTTGGATTGGAGGGATGAGATGGAGTTGTGCCATGGATTCGTATGCCCATAGGGTGCCGGGTGGCCCCTATAAAAGAACCCTAGACCCCCTGCAGAATAGCATCCCAATTCACTCCATTGAGGATCCATTCAGAGAAGAGAAGAGCTCCCACAAACTCTGAGAATTAGCATAGCTTAGCTAAGTTAGATCAAGTAGAGACGGGCTACTGCTCGGATTTCGGATCTAGTCACCGGAGGCATGGTATAGCCCGCTCTACATCTATATTATGTTCTTAGTTATCATGCTCATAGTTTGCTTTGATTATATGCTTAGT